CCTTGTTTTAACTAATGCTCCTATAACATTTCAGGCTTTAATGAATGAATTATTAGTTCATTCCTTAGGAAGTTTTTTTGGTGTTTTTTATGACATATTAGTTTAGTAACTCTATGACAGACCATATTTTGCATTTACATTTGGTTTTGGATATTTTGCAAGTAATCAGCTATTTTAAAAAATGTCTAAGTGTTTCTTTGGCCAGAACCAAGTAGAATACTTGGGACATATTATTTCAGCTGTTGGTTTTGCTACTAATCCTAGTAAGGTAGAAGCAATGAGAAATTGGCCCTTGCCTAAATCCTTAAAATTATTGAGAGGATTTTTGGGATTGACAGGCTATTATATAAGATTTATCAGAGATTATGGTACTATTAGTAAACCTTTGACAGATGTTGAAAAGGATGTTTTAAGTGGAGCAGTGCAGCTTTGACTGCTTTTGAAGAGCTTAAGAAAACTATGTGTCTTGCACCTGTTCTAGCTCTACCAAACTTACTAAAAGTTTTTATTTGGAAACTGATGCTAGCTCTGGAGGCATAGGAGATGTTTTATCTCAAGATGGTAGACCTATAGCATTCTAAGTAAAGCTCTCAGTCCAAGACATGATGCTCTATTATTTATGAGGGAATACATTGTTATTTTATTAGCAGTCTCCAAGTGGAGACACTATTTGGAGAGCAAGCCTTTTATCATAAAAAACTGATCATGAACCTCTAAAATACTATTGAAGCAGAAAACTACTGATATTCAGAAAAAGGGGCTGACAAAATTATTGGGATTGGATTATACTATCCAATACAGGAAAGGTAAATCAAATGTGGTGGCTAATGCCTTATCCAGAAAATAGGAAGATCAGGGTCAGTGTCTTGCCATGGGAACTACCCTAATCATTCCTACTTGGGTTTTAAGATGTGGAAGAGAGTTACAAAGATGATTATTGGCTATTGAGTGGATTTCCATTTTAACTGTAAATTCTATACTGATCCTAAGTGGAAATTTTCCAAATGAATTCTCAAATTCAAGACAGGGTTTATATTGGTACTAAGGGTTCTCTTAGATTACAGATTCTTCAAACCCTACATGACTCACCTTATGGGGGTTATTCAGGAGTTCAAGCAACTTATCAAAGAATTAGAAGTTATTTTTACTGGCCTAAACTTCAGGCTATGGTGGCTACTTATGTAAGGGCTTGTACAGTATGTCAGTAAACTAGGTGGAGCATGTTGTTAAACTAGTCTACTTCAGCCATTACCATTTGTTGGCACTATCACATCCTTATACTGCTACTGAAGTGGCTAAACTATATTTGGACAATATCTATAAGCTTCATGGGCAGCCTAAAGTGGCTATTTCAGACAGGGATAAAACCTTCACTAGTCTCTTTTGGAGAGAACTAATGAAGCAGCTGGGTACTAAGACTCTATTCAGTACTGCTTATCACCCAGAGACTGATGGACAAACTGAAAGGGTGAATCAGTGTCTTGAACAATATTTAAGGGGTTTGTGTTTTTTCCAACAAAAGTAGTGGGCTAAATGATTATCCCATGCAAAGTGGTGGTATAATACCACCTATCATACAACCCTAAAAACAACATTTCAAGTCCTATATGGCTACCCACCCCCTACAATGATGTGGCAAACAGATTCATCGGTGCAATCTGTCAGTGACTTAATGCAGACTAGAGAGGATATTCGAAGGCTAGTCAAGATACAATTAGAAAATGCAGCCAATCGAATGAAACATGAAGCTGATAAGAAAAGATCTGAGAGAACTTTTACAGTGGGATAAGAAATGTACCTGAAATTACAGCCCTATCGCCAAACATCTTTGGCTCTATGAAAAAATCTAAAGTTAGCAGCACGATACTATGGCCCTTATAAAATTACAGAAAATATTGGTGAGGTTACTTACCGTTTGGATTTACCTGAGACATCCAGGTTACATCCGGTTTTTCATGTGAGTCTTTTGAAGAAACACATTGGAGAATCATTTCATGTGAGTCTTTTGAAGAAACACATTGGAGAATCATCAACTTTTTCTACAGCTCCTCCTGAAATGATGAGGAAGTCAATTAAAATTGAGCCTTCTCAGATCATGGGAAGAAGAATTGTAAACAGGAACCACAAACTGTTACTCAACTGTTGTACGATGGAAGAATCTGGATGAATCGTGATACTTGGGAAGACTAAATTGTTCTTAGGGACAATTTCCCAACTTTGATCCTTGGGGACAAGGATCTGCTCCAGCGGCGGGTATTGTCATGGTTGGAGGAGAAGGCGTGAGGAAAGGAAGAGAAGACATCGGGGAAGAAAGAGAGAATTGGGAAAATGTAAACAATGGTTAGGAATTGGGAAATGTAAACAATGGTTAGGATTTCTGAGGGAATTGGGGATTATACTTGATGAAGAAGATCACGTGAGGAGCACGGGTTCATTAAACCCATCAGCTAATTGAAGACCCAACAGACGTGAAGTCCAATAGTGAAGTCAAGCAGAGAAGTCCAAAGATAATGCAACAGAATTAGTTAGAATATATGCCAGCTGGCTTGTTAAATTCTATAGTACCATTGTATAAATAAATGTACATGCCAAGGGATGATTATGCTGATTTTCACCGAATGAATTCTGAATTTCTTTAATCCTTTCTGTTTCTCTTCTAAAATCTCCTTTTTCTCTACTTCATCATTTGCATTCATCACATCTCAAGACTTGCAGCTGCCCTGTTGAATCCACAATTGGGGAGAACCGAAGGCAAAAGATGGTTCAAAATTAGCAAATGATCTAGACATTAGTCACTGAAACATCTTGGTACAAGGTTGGTATATAATCATATGGATTTGATCTTCTCAGTTTTGTTATATTGTGATCAATTATATGTTTGAGAAATACGACACCAAGTTTAATTCATTTGGGGAACAAATAATCAAATACTTGCAGGGTGTATAGCAGTAAGCATATCGTTGCACCAAACAAGTTTTTGCTTCGTCTACTGTCTCTTAGCTTTGGGTGAAAAAGAAGCGATAAGCTCAGAGAAATGCTGATGTTTCTGAGATTCTCAAAGGCACACAGTTCCCCATCATTTGCAAAACTCCGAATGATCGACCCCATAAAAAAAATCATTGAGCATGATTACGTTTGTATGAGATAACCATTGGACCCTTTTTAAATTGTCTGCACAATGTCTTAGATTCATCAATCCTTAAATATTGCAGCCGAGTTATATGGCTTGGGGATTTGAATTATCGAGTAGCCTTGAGCTATGAGGCAACCAGGAACTTGTTGGAGGATGATAATTGAGACACCCTTCTGGAGAATGATTAGGTTTATCAATTTTTACTTCTAATTATTAATGAATTTAATAAATTAATCACTTTCATTCTTCTTCTTTTTCTTGAAACACTTTGATCTCAACATTTCATTTCGGAGCAAAATGCCTTTTGATTGGATGAGAATCGTCAATTAACTAACGGACAACGCTTTTTGTCGATGCGGCAAGTCCTATGTGTCCAAAATGCTTAGGAAACTTATGTCACATCATCACTTTGTACATATGACATGTGCCCATAAACACTTTGAACATATAATATGTGTCATGTCATCACTTATATACAGATGATAATGTTAGCACTTATATGCAATACGTCATCACATTAAACATATAGTATATGTCACGTCATCAATTTTGAATATGTGACATGTGTTATCACTTTGGACATGTGATATGTATCACGTCATTACTTAAGACACATGACATATTATGCTATTATTTTTAGACATGTGAAATTTATCACCACAACGAAGAAATAAAAAAATCAAAATGATTATTTTGTGAAATATAAGTGATTTTTCTTTATTATAACACTTCCGGTTGAGTTAAACATATGGCTTCCGAGATAAGAAAATTCCAAAACTGATGCATTCGAAATACCAACAGATAGTAATATTAGAAGTTTGCAGACGAAATTGAGAAAATAATGTCAACCCTTTCCATGAATATAAGCAAAGGTCAATAACTACTACCTTTTGCCATTAAGAATCTATAGAAATAAAGTCAAAAGTCGGCCGGTCCTTTTCTAGATGTCGCTTTCATGAAAAAACTGCTGTGTTAAGTTAAACAGAACTCATGAAAATGACTTCTGGATTTAACTATTAATCAAATGGACAGCTAAAAGGTAAACACAAGTAAAAGTTTCTTTCCTGTTTTAACTTAACTGACCCTGTTCTTTTCAATTGAATGCAGTTAAATATGGAGAGAGAAGCAGGGAGAGTATTCGATGGTTTCAAAGAAGGAAGGATACTATTTGCTCCTACATACAAGTATTCATAATTCGGATTCTTACGCAGGAGAAAATGACAAATCCAAGAAGAAACGAAGAACTCCTGCATGGTATTTTTGTCATCTTACATGTATAAGCCGGGATTGTGAACAATGCTGGATGGAATATATTACTTGACTCTTTTGATAAACTTGAAATGTTTCTTCAGGTGTGATAGGATACTATGGCGAGGTTCTGGAATCGAGCAGTCTTATTTCCGTGGAGAGTCCAGATTTTCTGATCACAGACCTGTTTCTGCTCTTTTTTCTGTTGAGGTCATAGTAAGAAGGAAATATGATAAATTCAGGAAAGGTTATTCATGTGGTTTAAGGAGATTTTATTACGAAGAATGCATACCTCGAAGGCATAGTTTCTATGAGTGCTAACTTAAAAAGCTTCATTTTGCTTATTTTCACCTGTATTTTGTTTTCCTAGTACACAAAAGGGGAGATTATATTAGGGAAGCATATTTTCACCTGTATTTTGTTTTCCTCTAAAATACATGCATATATCTATTGATGTAAATCAACTTCCTAATACAACATAAGGGGAGATTAATATTAGGGAAGCATATTAGGGGAGATTAATATTAGGGAAGCATATTTTCTACATCAAGAGATTGTTTGTAGTAAATAAATAGATTTCATTGAGCATGTTTTCTGTTGGAAGTGAAGCGCCCCCATTTGAAATCTCAAGTGTTTGAGCAAACATGAGCCTGTAGCTGTCAGCTAACTCGATCTTCGGTCTTTGCTCGACTCATGATTTGGATGTTCCATCAAATCCCATATCCCAAATTGAAGTTAATCCTTGATTATCAATGTCCTCTTATGATGATGGAAACGAACTTAAGTCCATATCTCCTATTTGAAACAGAAATTCTGGTGGCAAAGGTAGACCTTCAATTGCACAAGTTAAATAGTTTATATAATCTTGCAAAACCATGTCAGATGCATCCCCTACTTCATTTAGTTGCTGCATATCACTTTCTTGACCATTAGCCTTTTCTAGCTCCATGTCGAGCCAATCTGTCACGGCACGCAACTTCCCAATACTGTCAGGGCTCTCTGTATTCATTTTGGTCTGAGGACCAAATGAGTGATGGTCATATGGAACAATATTCCTATCACAAAATTCTGATTCTTCACTGCTTTCTTGGCTTACATCACTTTCTTTAGACTTGTAGGAGCAACTTGATTCATGTTCACTCCTTGAGCTCCTGCCTGTGAAGCCTAATTCCAGTGCACTATGCGGGCACATCGAATTCTGGCAAGCGAATAACGTACTCGGGGTAACCTCTCGGTCAAAAAACCACTTCCTTTTATCTTTAGAGATGGCAATCCTCTCACCTTGCTTGCCCCTGTCATCTGGATGACTGTGCTCTAAATCCTCTTCTTCCCTATCATCTTTGTCAGGTGAGATTTTGAGACATTTCTCTGTGAGACGTAAAAGGGCTTCTTCCTGGTTAACCGCTTTAGACCAAGTGAAAGTGTCTTTGGCTGTCATCTTTCTTGCAAACATTTGGATTGTAACACTAACCTTCTCATCCTATCTAAATTTGGGGCCATATGCTTGATCACAGCAGCCAATACACTGACTTTCCAGGCCTTTTTAAGGTCATGAGGCTTCTTATAAGGAGGGGGACCATGTTGTTGAGACAGACCTTGTTCCCCCCACCAAAGCTCCTTCCCGGTTGGCCACCAAGGAGGGGCTATGCCCCTCTCTAATGGAAATCTGCGTTGCGGGGGTGCGCAGTCTTGCATCAAAGTGGAAAGAAGTGATCCCAGAGTAGTATCCTGCAAGTCATGAAGGAGATGCAAGCTAGAAACAATGTCCACGTCGCCTTGTTCGAAAACAATCGGCAAGTGTTCCTCGAGAGAAGGCGGAGCATTCTTGTCGAACTTAACCTTCTCTTTCCACCACTTGCGGAGGCTATCAGATGAGCCGGTAACAGGTTTTCCTTTCTCCGGAACTATCCCATAAACGAAGCCTTGTGCCTTGCAAACTTCCATGATTTTCACCATGTACTTGAGGATGGAATCTTGAGCTCGAGACATCTTCTTGCGGCGAGACGCTTCTTGCTTGGCGTTAGACTCATGATCGGACTCCGAACTCTCCCGCTTCTCCTTCATCTTCTGCATCCGCGCACGGTCCTTCCACATCCGCTTCTTGAGCTCTTCGTAACTAATCTCCTCCTCTTGTTCTTCATCCTCCTCCGGTAGCTCTGCTTCATAAACAGGGCTAGGAGGTTCAATCTCACCAAGAAACTCAACCATATCTAATCAAATTCCCCTAAATTTAAAGTCAAGTACACCCTTTTCTTCCTTTCCTTCTTTTCTCTGAGAAAACTGTCAGTACTGTATCTGTGAATCAGTGATCAGATGCAGAGTTACACGTATATAAATGTGTGTTAATGGCGGTGTATAAGAAAGGACAAACTATGTACGATTAAAGCATGGTATACTTGAAGAGAAGTAAAATATCGAAGGTGACTATGGAGATAAGAGGAAATTGAGGAAACAGATACAAGTGTTACAAAGTTGATGCAAAGTTATGATATAAGTACCATGCAATTGCATGCGTTGCTGCCTCTATTATTACATACAAGCACGACAACCTACGTAATACTTTCTACTTCCGTGTTATATATTCTAGGGAATATTTTATTTTACGTTATCTTTAAAAAAATTATAAAATATAACCACTAATAAAATAGTATCACATCATCTATTTTTGAAGATATAAAAATATTATTATACATTCATATATTTTCAATCTTCTCTTTGGTTTGATACAACTTTAATTAAATTATTTAAAAGCAAATATTTATTTATTAAAAGTTAGTATAAAATAATTATTTTTCATTAAATAATTAGGGTGATATAACATAACAACTAATAACTATATATATTGTTATAAGTTAAACATAGTTTAAAACCTAACCATTATCACTTCTATTTATTTCGCTAAAACCCTAATTCTAAACATTTTCCTTCAACTTTTAATTCCTAATTCAAACTTCCAACTTTTATTACAATTTTAAATTTTCAAAATATAAGTAAAACAAAAACTCCTTCAAAATAGCAATATATATATATTTCTTTTAGAGTTCCGTTGTGTCATCAGAGAGTGTTTTTTATAAGAAGCGTTTTATGCAGATGTGATAAAAGTTGATGAAAACTTTTATAGGTGATAATAATTATTATATGAATATTTAGAGAGCACAGTTGAAGATTTTTCTGATGATTGTTAACTGATTTAGATGGCAAAGCAAATGGACAATGGTGGTAACAAACGATAGCACAAAGGTTGAATAGTGGAGGGGAGAAAAAAAATAGAAAATGATTACAATATGTATTAAATTGGTAAAATATTAAAAATTATTTTTTAGAATTAAAATTAAATTATATTAATATGTAAAAGTTAAAGGTTAAAGGTTAAAATTATTATCATATTAATGTTATTAATTATGCTGTCATCTTTCATTAATTATTTAACAAAAAAAATCAATTTATATCTTCTTATGAGCTCTAATAATTTTAGTAATCGATAAATGTAACTAAATCCGAGTTGTAATCGAGGGATTATCCGAATAATTCACCCTTAGAAGAATAACTAAAAATCATTTTAAAACCATTAGAATTAATTATGCACAAATTATCATATGACCCTTAGATTCATAAATGACATGAAAAAGACCAAGATGAGGTGTGCAACCTGAAATCTCGGAGGGATGGCACATTTTTCATTCACCGGTGTTTCTGGGAAGGGGGATGTAATTAATAAATAATTATTTTAGCACAAATTAATTCAAATAACATGGATGGTTCTTCAGCACTGAAAGACAACTCACTTTAAATGTAAACTTGCTGACGCTTTACCACTTTATATTTATAATATATCTTTACTAACATTGTTGGTTGAAGTAACTAAATAAATAAATAATCTGATATAACTTAATTAATAAGAAATTAAATAAAAGATATTATAGTGTCGTTACGGACACTAAAAACATATTAAAATCATTTTTTAATTAAAAATAATAATCACAAATTGACTTTCCGTTTCCAGAAAATCTTACTTTTTACATATATATTTTAATATTTTATTAATAATTATTATTTTTTAAAAATAAATTTCAAATATATAAAAAACACTTATAACGTGTATTATCAAAGTATTTAACAGTTATTTGGAATTTAGGTCTCTTTTACTTTGGTTTGACATTTAAATTAAAACATTTTGACAAGCTGCGTCAATAACAAAATTAGATAAAAATCTACGGGTTTTACAATTTTTAAAAAGAAATGAAAAAAAAAAGAATTACATTTTTTTAAAAGAAAAATAGTTGGTGCTCCTTGATACACGTAAAATATTGAGTGTATTGGGATTTGAGTGAGCCGACTTTACAAGAAAGGCCTTAAATAATCATATACTTCAACTATTTATATACTAAATTAAAACTTGCACTTCCTTTCTTGTTAAGTCATTTCATTTTATTGGTAGTTTCAATTCCTCCTCCTGCTCTTCAAGTCTTTCTATAAAAGCTTTCGTACTGCTACTTCTCTATTCTACATCCCACCAAATGGTTTTCTCTTTAATGATTCGTAATCATCATGTCAAATCTAGAATAAATATACTCTTTTTTTAACTCATTTGTTTATCTCTTTATATTTCACTTCTTATAAATTCTTTCGAGAATTTTTATTAACAATTCTTCGTCTAATTCAATTAGCATGAACCGCTAACTTTAGCTTATCTTTTAAGAATAAGTAAATCAAATAATATAATATAATTATTATCTCTTTAAATACTCATTATCCTTGCCTTTTACACGTATAACACCTTCCCTAAAATTATTTAGGGATTTGACCTTATGATTATTTACAAGTTTTACTTGTTGAATATGTCACGTAAGATAAAAATGTATGCTGTCAGTAGACATGCACAGAAGCCGGATTTTAATTCGATCCGGATCGGTTTTTATCCGATCCTGTTTTTTTCCATAGACAAAAAATCGGTTTATAAAATAACCGGTTCGGATTCTAACCGGTTTGGAGGGCCGGATATCCTAGCCGGTGTAACCGGTTTCGGTTTGAAAAAAATTGGTTTTTTTAAAAAACCGATTATAAAAAAATCGATTATAATATTATTAAAATTACATCGTCATCAATTGCAACAAAGTTTATGATAATTGAAATACTTAAATACTTCCAAGTTTGATAAATTCAAATACTTAAAAACTTTCAAGTTCGATAAATTCAAATACTTAAAAACTTCCAAGTTCGATAATTGAAACAAAGTTTACGATAATTGAAATAAAGTTTAAAAATAAACTACATTGCCATCTCTTCTTCATCATCTCTGCCTTCTTCATTTGGAGGGGATATTCCAAGTTCGACTTCTTCAATGTGTAAGTTTGCTTCCAAATCGGAATCAATTGCATCTTCTAGGATGACGGTATGTTGCTTCCGAGCCGCTCCATCCAAATAATCCTTCAAACAAATGCATAATTCCACTGACTCGGGACTTAGTCTTGATCTCCGTTGCGATATAACCCTGCCACTAACAGAAAAAGCAGATTCCGAAGCTACCGTAGAAGCTTGGACGGTTAGTAAATCACGGGCCATGGCAGCTAGAATCGAAAATTTTGCTTCCTTTTCTTTCCACCAAGCAAAAATATCCAAACTTTCAAACTCTTCAAATGTCATTTTTGATAGAAAATCGCATGACATGTAATTTCCCAACTCGCTACTTGGGGTGATAGTACGTGATCGTTTTGATTGGGAATTTACAAGAGTGTTAAAAAGATTCAAATTTATGTTACTTGGACGTCTACTAGATGATTCTGCATTCGTTCTCATTTGATCGTGTATTACACTACTTGATTCGTATTTAGTTAAATAAATTGCAAACATGTCTCGAAAACATTTGTTAAAATAATTTATTTGGTTTTGGACAAAGTTGGGTTCATCATCGGTTAGATTAAAAGCAAACGCAATTTGTTCAATTAGTGTTTCAACCCCGCCAACATTTCACGTTGGGTTTAAAGCAGCGGCACAAGTAAAAATGGGGGAGAATCTCCTTAAAATATTTTAAAAGTTTTTCCTTCATTGCAAAGCCAATTTCTTGAGAAACTTCGGTTTCAAATTTAAAGTCATTTAGTCGGGTAGCCAACAAAAATATTTGATTAAGAACCAACAGGCTAGTAGGGTAATAAATACCGGATAAAAAAGTTGTTGCATTTTTAAAAACCCTAAGCAAATCGGTTATTTTGGCTATAGTTTCCCAACTCGAATCCGGATAAATGTTTGGGACATGGCCCCTCTCGAAAAGCCGATCGTGAAATGTTTGCAATGTTTCCCTTTGTCTTAAGGCGGTATGCATCATCATCCAAGTTGAGTTCCAACGAGTTGGACAATCCAAATTAGGACCCAAAGCTTTTTTATTAACCGACTTACAAAATCGTTTATAATCATTTAGTATTTTGTTGTTGTTACAAAGAACCGATTTTATCATTGTTTTAAATTCTAATCTAATCGGCTCAATAAACTCCAAACCGTCTTGCACTGATAAATTAATTATGTGTGCAACGCAACGGGTATGAAAAAACGCACCGTCTAAAATCGGTGAAAGTAATATTTTCAATCTTGGAACCGCGTTTGTATTATTCGATGCATTATCAAAGGATATAGAAAAAACTTTATTTTCTAATTTATAAAGACAAATTACCCTTGAAGACACTAGTTTTTTACATTTGGTTTTATTATTATATTTATTATTTTTATTTTTATTTTTATTACTATTATTATTATTATTATTATTATTATTAATATTATTATTATTATTATTATTAATATTATTATTTTATTACATATACAACCCAAGGCCCAACTCTGGCCTGATTACAACCAGGCCCGATCAGAAATGGCCCAAGTAGAACCCTAAACCCAACTAGGGTATATGTTATCACTCCCAGCCGCCATTGATCACCACCGTTGGATCTATCCTTGATCCAACGGTCCTCAGATGCTCCATCAAGAAACCCTAGGGTTATCATAACCCTAGGGACCACGCGACGCCGCCCCTGAAGCCAACCAAACCCACCGACTGTCTTCTGCCAGGTGCCTCGTCCAGACGCCGTCTCCACTGCCAGATGGTCCAACCAGTTGCTGCCGACGCTGCTGCTTCCACGACGCCGGCCTCGTCGAGCTTTCCAGAAGCCAGATGCCTCACCAAATCAGTGCTCTATGGTGAGTCACCGCCATAGCTTGGTGACTCACCAAGGATGCTACCCATGGGACCGGTCCGATGAGAGCCTCATCGAGGCTATAAAGCCTTGGCTCACCTGCAACAAAAAAAAGAGGGGACGGTAACGAAAAACATAGACAGAAACAGAAAAGACGGCTAGCAGTAGCCAAAAAAGAGAGATACAGAGAGCAACCACAACAACCAGTCGAGAAAAAAAG